TCTCCTGGTTGACCTGGTTTCTTGTGTCTCTGCAGGTCTCCTGGTTGGAACTCTGGATGTGGTTCTGGACTCGAGTGCCAGGGTGGCTCCGTACAGGATCCTGCTGCAAACTGCAGATTCTCAGATCTACTGGAACATCGCCTGTGGTGAGATGGATGGACTTGGAAATCCTGGGAAGTATCTGGATTATTTTCTTCACCCTCTGTTGCGTCTTGCAGGTTCAAGCAGGAAGGAGATCACTGAGCACTGGGATTGGTTGGAGTCCAACCTGCTGCAGACGATCTCCATCTTTGATAACGATGAAGATGTCATCACGTTTGTCAAAGGAAAGATCTCTGTGAGTCTCTGGCTGTTTTTTTGTTCTCATCTGGTTGTTTTTGCTGTCCTGGCTTCCTTTTTGAGTGATGTCACTTCCTGCAGGGCATCATCGCAGAGGAGAAGCGGCTGAAACAGAGCGAGGAGCAGGAGGAGGACAGTGGGAAGTTTCGAGAGGCGGAGCTGAAGATGAGGAGGCTCTTTGGAATGCCTGAAGAGGAAAAGCTGGTGAACTACTATTCCTGTAGTTTCTGGAAAGGTCGTGTGCCGCGGCAGGGCTGGCTCTACCTGTCCATCAATCACCTGTGCTTTTATTCATTTCTGCTGGGAAAGGAAGGTCCGATCAGCCAATCACACGCCAGCATTAACCACGCAGTCTTTGTTGTCATGCCGCTCACGCTTTTCTATCTGCCCTCAGTGACCCTGGTGATACCGTGGACCGAGGTTATCCAGCTGGAGAAGAACGCCACCCTGCTGTTTCCAGAGAGTGTCTGTGTGAGCACTCGGCACACCAAACATTTCTTCTCCATGTTCCTAAACATCAACGACACCTTCAAGCTGATGGAGCAGCTCGCCAACATTGCCATGCGCCAGCTGCTCGATAACGAGGCGTTCGCCGCCGACCGCTTGCTGCCCAAACCCTGCAAGACGCTGAAGAACGTCTCCGCGCTCAAGAGGTCTCACTCTGCCTGAAACTCTGAGTTTCCCCCTTTGACATATCTGACCTGACGTTCTATGTTTGCAGGGATTTTGACGCCCGTGCCAAGAACGAGCAGTACCGGGCCATGTTCCGTCTAACGCAGGACGAGCGGCTGGACGGACACACGGACTGCACGCTGTGGACGCCGTTTGCTAAGATGCACGTGGTGGGACAGCTGTTCATCTCCAACAACTACATCTGCTTCAACAGCCGAGAGGAAGACCTGTGTCGGCTCATAATCCCGCTCCGAGAGGTAAGCCCGAGACCTGGGTCCGGTTCTGATGATCAGCCTTGGTTCTGACCTGCAGCTCGGTACCACAGTGGCTCAAAGGTAGCATAAACGTTTCTTCAGAATGTGTGTTTTTCTTTTTTTTTTCTTTCAAAAATACAAAAATCCACATAATAACTTTGTTAGTTATAAACAGGTTTACTATAATTAACTAAATCTAACCTAACTGGTAAAACCCGACTAATGTCACAAAACTATAACTAAATCTACAGAAATTATTTTAACGAACAGGTTTACCAAATTTAGCTATTCATCAGGTTAAGTAACAGGGGGGGCAAACCGTCTCTCACCACTACACCACCGTGCAGCTTCCATGTGTTTACATTTTACCCATAATTCTCTGCTCCTCAGGTGTCCGTAGTGGAGAAGGCAGACAGCAGCAGCGTGCTGCCGTGTCCCGTCTCCATCAGCACTAAGAACAAGATGAACTTCCTGTTCGCCAACCTCAAAGACAGAGACTTCCTGGTTCAGCGTATTTCTGACTTCTTGCAGCGAACCCCGGACAGCTCGTGGGGTGACACCAACCCGCTGTCTCTGATCGGATCCTCGGTACGTCAGTCACAGCTCACACTCGGGTTCCCCTCTCAGGATGCTCTCACCACACTGGAGTTTATGTTTTGTTTTCAGGCCTCCTCTGACTCCGCCAACAAGAACCGCCATTACCACCCTGGCCTGCCGACAGCCAGCCAGAGTCTGCTGCAGCTGTACCACCGGGACACTCCAGAGGACCTGGGACCCAAAGCCGTGAGTACCGCCTCATGACGACTGTCTCTACGGAGGAGACTCTGATGCGACCTCACCTCTTGTTGCTCCTGCAGATGAAGGAGAGGATGAAGGAGGAGGCGTGGAACATCCATTTCTCAGAATTTGGTCGAGGTGTCTGCATGTACAGAACCTCCAGAACCAGAGAACTGGTTCTGAATGGAATACCAGAATGTCTGAGAGGGGAGCTGTGGCTGCTGTTCTCTGGTCTGTGTTTGTACTTTTTATTTTATTGGTCTGAGGCATTTTCTTCTCTCCTGTCCTCACCTGTTGTCTTGTGCACCTGCCTGTGCAGGTGCTCAGAACGAACTGGCGTCCCACCCTGGTTACTATGGCGACCTGGTTGAGCAGGCCATGGGGCTTTGCTCGTTGGCTACAGATGAGATTGAGCGCGACCTTCACCGCTCTATGCCCGAACACAAAGCCTTCCAGAACGAGATGGGGATCGCTGCTCTGCGTCGCGTCCTCACCGCCTACGCCCACCGAAACCCAGGAATTGGATACTGCCAGGTAAGATCCACCAATTTATGTTTAAAACCAGATCAACCACCCACTGAAACCAGGGCATCAAATACAGTTGTAAAAAGACTAGATTGTGTCTTTTTTGCTAGTTCAAACAGACGTGTTCTCTCTTCAGGCGATGAACATCGTCACCTCCGTCCTGCTGCTCTACTGTACAGAGGAAGAGGCCTTTTGGCTTCTGGTGGCCCTCTGTGAGCGCATGCTGCCCGACTACTACAACACTAGGGTCGTAGGTCAGTAACACCAGTCCAAGAAGATCTGAGTCTGTAACAAATCTTGAGTTTGTAATAGGACAGGGGTCTGTAACAGTGCTGTTATCGTTACAGGTCTTTGAGTCTAATAACTCAAAGGTTATTGAGTGTGTAACAGGACTTAGTAATAATACTTAGGACTTACCTAGAATACCGTAGTCCCTCGCTACTTCGACGTTTGTTTATCACGGATTCGTTCTATCGCGGTTTTTCAAAATAAGATTGGACATGACGCACAGTTGGTTGGTTGATAGATGAGCTGCACGATAGTTGTGGAATTTTTATTTAAAATAAATTATTTTAAATTATTTAGTACCTGCTGCACCTTTGTGCAGCCCTTACTGCAGGATAAACTTCCTGCTGCAGCTGATCAGCTGTTCATCGTGCAGAGCTGAAAATTGGGCGTGGCCAAGAGCAGAGGTGACAAGAGAGCTGAAATCATGACATTTTGTGATCTTTTAGGGCGTTTAGAGTTTAGAAACATTGTTTAGAATATTGAAAGAGTGGAAGAGTTTAAAACACTTTTTATATATATATATATATATATATATATATATATATATATATATATATATATATATATAGATAGATAATAAACTACGCTAGTACTTACTATTTGTACTACTACTTACTACTTGTACTACTATTCCTACTTTGCGTTTTTTTCACTTATTGCAGGTCCTCAGGGTATGGATCCCCCGCGATAAACAAGAGACTACTGTAGTATTTGAGGTTTTAACAGCACTAGGATTTGTTAGAAATCTTGAGTCTCTAATAGGAACATGGTCTTGATTGGGATCCGTATTAGTCTTGAAAAAGAAGACTGTTTAGAGGACCAGGAGCAGAGTCTGTGATAAGACGAGGATCAGTAACATGATCCGTGTAAGTATTGGGTCTTAATCCAGAACTGTGGTCTTGACCAATACTGACATTTTCAACAGAACCAGGAATGGTCAGAAAGTTTTGGGTCCTGAAGCAGAACACAGTAGGTTGCTGTGCCGGTCTCATTGGGCGTGTGTCTCTGCAGGGGCTCTGGTGGACCAGGGAGTGTTTGAAGACTTGACCCGGGTTTTCCTCCCCCAGCTCTATGACCATATGCAAGAGCTTGGAGTCATATCCACCATCAGCCTGTCCTGGTTCCTCACCCTCTTCCTGTCTGTGATGCCATTCGACAGCGCCGTCCTCTTGGTCGACTGCTTCTTCTTCGAGGGAATCAAAGTCACCTTCCAGGTACTGACCCACACTTACCTTTTCAATACAGGACCAGTACCAAAAACTGTTTGGTTTCAGCGGGTGTGTTCAGACAGATTCTTCTGACTGATCATTGACCTCATCTATCTGCAGGTAGCACTAACTGTTCTTCATGACAACATGGAAGCTCTGCTGTCCTGCACCGATGAGGGCGAGGCCATGACCACCCTGGGCAGGTAGGAGTACTGACTCAGTTCAGTTCTAATCCAGATTTGGTTCACTTGTTCTCCAGACCTGGTTCAGATTCAGTATCAAAAGGAAGTGAATACTTGTTAGGAAATTAACGTAACCATACTGTGTCACACCTGTATCGCAGGTACCTGGATAATGTTGTGAATAAGCAGACCGTGGCTCCGCCCATTCCTCACCTCCATGCCTTGCTGACAAGTGGAGATGATCCTCCACCTGAGATCAACATTTTTGACCTCATCAAGTCATCCTATGAGGTCAGAGTGATGTAATTTACAGCAAGACATGTTCACCAGTCGAGAAAACACCTTTAATAATTGATTAAATTAACTCTGTCTGAATCCTGGAGCTGCTGTGATCCAGTTAAATCCTGGTCTGAGTTGAAGGAACTTCCTTTTTTCTTTGCAGAGGTTTGGCAGCCTGCGCTCTGACGACATTGAGCAGATGAGGTTCAAGCAGAGGTTAAAGGTCATCCAGTCCCTGGAAGACACAGCCAAGCGAAGCGTGGTGAGTGTTGAACCTGATTTATGCTCGTTGTCCGCGTGCTTGTAAAGGTCACGAGCCACGGGTTGGACACCAGTCTAGGCCCAGCTTTATTGAGCTATAAATGAATGTTAATAATGCTAACGTGGACATGAGGACATGCGTCACATGTGCGTGTCTCTGCAGGTGAGGGCAATGATGACAGAATCAGCGTTCAGCATCGAGGAACTCGAGGAGCTCTACTGCCTCTTCAAGGTCAGGAGGAACTTTAAGATGTTTTTAAACTGTTCAGACCTCTTTGTCCTCTGCTGGTCTCTGTCCTTCTCAGGTTTCTGTCCCCTGCAGGTCTATGTCCTCATGTCTCTTCTTCTGCAGGTCTAACCTGTGTGTCTCTGTTTGTGACTTTGTTCAGTCCAAACACATGACCAGCTGTTACTGGGGCTCCAGCAGCTCTGCAGCGGAGCGTCATGATCCCAGTCTGCCGTACCTGGAGCAGTACCGGATCGATCCGATTCAGTTCGCTCAGCTCTTCTTGGCACTCGCTCCCTGGGTCTGTGGAAGCCACACCCCCATTTTGTCATCCCGCCTCTTCAGGCTCCTGGATCAGAACCAGGACGGGCTTGTCAATTTCAAAGAGTTCATTACCGGGCTCAGTGAGTTCAGTCCAGATCCTCATGACAAATGGATGCCCAGTTCTAGCTTGACCCGGTTTCACCTGAGTGTTTGCGTTTCTGCAGGTGGGATGTATCATGGGGACATGACTGAGAAACTGAAACTGCTCTACAAGCTCCACCTCCAGCCAGGTAACTGCTCACCTGGAAGACAGTTTCTGATCAGAACAGAACCCACTAACTCAGGTTGCACAGTACTGATCCTGAAACATCTTGACCACACAAAAATACAGAACAGAACCAGAACTTCTCTAGTGACAAATTATGTTTTGTCATGTGACCTCTTACATTGATCCTCCCTTTATTCTCTTGTAGGACTTGTTGCCTATTAGAACTTGTTGGGTCTGTTTCTTGGAACTTATTGGGTCGTTGTCACCTGGGACTTGTTAGATTGTTGTCTCCTGGGACTCGCTGGGTCGTTGTCTCCTGGGACTCGTTGGGTCGTTGTCTCCTGGGACTCGTTGGGTTGAGGTCTCCTGGGACTCGTTGGGTCGTTGTCTCCTGGGACTTGTTGGGTCGATTGGGACTCGTTGGGTCGAGGTCTCCTGGGACTCCATG